GAGAGAGAGAGAGAGAGAGAGAGAGAGAGAGAGAGAGAGAGAGAGAGAGAGAGAGAGAGAGAGAGAGAGCCCCCACGTGCGAGCGCAGCACGCGAGATGTAGAGAGAGTGATATCGTGTACGTGACAGCAGCAGCAGCAGCAGTAGCAGCACCACCACCAGCAGTAGCAGCAGCACAGAGAGAGACAGCGAGAGAGAGAGAGAGAGAGAGAGAGAGAGAGAGAGAGAGAGAGAGAGAATGAGCGCCACAACACGTAGCGCTGACCCAGGCCTCCCGTTCTCAAATACACGGCAACGATCAATATTATGGGGCCCTTTAATAACAATTTGCATTGCAAGAGAGCAACACAGTTTACTAGTGGTTCGTCACTACACTATACAGCGGCAACAGCGTAATTCTAGATGAACAAATTAATGGGATTTTGTGACATAATCTTCAACAATAACGCAACTCTCGATCATATAAAGTTTACTCGCGGGGATATGTATTATAATCATAATAGCGTAATCTATATAGAAAAAAGGTTCTTTAATTAATTAAAGCAATCTTTAACTACGACGTCCTTGCTTTCACTTGTGCACAGTATTTCACACGGTGACATAACATCCGTGGACGGACGCTGTGGGAGGGGGGGGGACCAAATCATGACTTATCGTACCGTATCGTATCGTTTCGTATCGTATCGTATCGTACGCACCGATCTCGTCCCTGGTGCAGTCGAGCATGCACTCGTTCTGGTACGTCTCTCCGTCGGTGCCGCACACGTAGTCGACAATGCGCGGACAGGTGCACGGGGTCGGCGTCGGCGTCGTTGCGTCCGGATCATCACACTGTCCCGTGTAGGCGACGCTCAGCCGTCCGTCACCTGCCGAAGACGACGACGACGACGACGACGACGACAACGGTGAAATCACAAGGAAGAGGCGGACCTAATACACAGATGCACGCTCGCGCGCACACGCGCGCACGCACATACGCACATGCACGCACACGCGCGCGCTCGCACGCACACACACGCGCGCGCACGCACGCACGCACGCACGCACGCACGCACGCACGCACACACACACACACACACACACACACACACACATACGTGATCGCACAGCGTAACATGTGTCTTATGTGTATATATGCCATTTATCCATCTAACAGGAAACTGAATTTTTTCCGAATACCCGTTCAAACGAATTAAACGTTAAACGATATAAAGTTATGTATATAAAGCTAGGTAATCGGCTTACGATTGGCAGCACAGTTGGTTGCTAAATTGAGACATCGCTTCGAGTTAAACACGTGGGTGATGTGCGGGAGGTGTTTTAATCGTAGCTGTACTACGCCACAGAGCTAGTGCCAGTAAAAGGTGTGTAAGTAGCGGAGTGTAATTATAATAGTGACAATGAGTAATAAACATCGAGCATCACCCGGATGCTAGTGATTCTTCGACTTAAGATTTCGTTGACTAATCGCTCGGTAGATGGTGCCACGAGCGCCTTTGCTCACCTCGGTTGTCGCGCTCGCACTGTAAGAAGCACTCGTTTGTGTAGGTGTTGCCGTCCGTGCCGCACACATACGCCACGTTCCTGGGGCAGGAGCAGCTGGCAGGCGTGGTCGCGTCAGGGCACGGCCCCAGGGAAGCCACCGCCAAGTCTTGGTCCCCTGTGGGAATGATACCCTATGTGAATCCAAAACGCATATACTAGTACATCAAACACTGTTAAAAAATGTATTAGGAAAAAATACATATATATATTATTTTTTTTTTATATAGATAAGCATTTATTAGAAATGTTTGAAGGAGCAATTAGAGATATTGGTGACAAGCTTAACAATGTAAAATAATAGAGCAATAGAAATTTAATCTTTTCCTAGCCAGAGGTCCCAAAAATACTAGTACATCAAACACTGTTAAAAAATGTATTAGGAAAAAATACATATATATATTTTTTTTTCAATCCTCCCCTTCCCCACACACGATTATATCTTTCCTTCTATTTTTTCGTCATTTTCTCTTACATTTCCATCCCTCTCCTACATTCTTACAAGATTCCACTCTTTCTCCTTCCATCATCCCCGCTCTCTTTCTCTCTCTCTCTCTCTCTAAAAATGAGCAGTAGATTTCGTAGCTTTTGAAATTCTGGAATTTCGAATAAGGGTAGCTCAACCCAGCATCTTCCCCCTTTTTCCCCCCATGTCTTTTTCTAACCCCACCCCCTTTGCACAGCACGCAGAGATGTCCCGTATCTATACCAGATTCTCTGACGGTGCATTCCAGAAAGCATTCGTTGGTGTATGTTTCTCCGTCGGTACCGCAGACGTAGCGTATGATTGGCTGACAGGTGCACGGTGTGGGCGTCGTCGCCATACCGCACTCTCCACTGTAGTCAACATCGAGCTCGTCATCTCCGGAACCTTACACCCAGGTAGTAGTAACGCGTGTGAACGAGTGCCGAAATGATTCTCACGCACGAAGGTTGGCTCTCGCCAATTTATATAGCTTACTCGATCGCCACGTAGGTATGTTTGTATTTCCCGTTTTCGTACACAAACAATATAGCAACAGTTAGAATATACAATTTACCAGAATTTAGAAGAATTAGGATTTAGGATTAAGGAGAATTTAAGATTTAGTCGAGTTTTAGTCGAATTTATTAATATAGGATTAGCATCCACAGTGCTGTTGACTTTCTGTCTCTAATTAGTGAACTGAACTAGGGAGTAATGTTTTTTTTGCTGTTGGAAATTCAACAGTAACTAACGTGGTTAGCTTTAGAAATCCTACAATAACTAAGATGTTTATATTTTAGAAATCCCACACTAGCTAGGATGGCTAGTGCTAGAAATTCGATACTAACTAGAATAGTTAGTTTTAGAAATTTCAGACGAGCTATAGTGTGTTAAAAGTGCTACACATCGCATGCTAGAAACTCAAGCGCAGTTATTTGTATTGCCTATAGGCACACAAGCACACGCTGAGGCGCACGCTTACGTTCGCATGAACGCAATCACGCACGCGCACACGTGCGTCCCCCCCCCACCATACACACGCGCGCTCACAAGCACGCACGCACACGCACGCACGCACACACACGTGCGCGCGCGCGCACACACACACACACACACACACACACACACACACACACACACACACACACAGAGAGGACTTTCAGTATCACATTGGGGATATTCGTATAGAGCAATAACTAAGCTGAGTAGGTTATTCATGAGGGACAGAAGTCCTGTAATAACAAAGTCAATAATTTGAGGATAGCGACGCGAAACTAGCGCCATCTCGGGGCGCTGAGAATTAGAGCGATTGCACTTACCGGTTTCGTCTCGTGAACAATTGAGCATGCATTCATTAATGTACGTGTTGCCGTCGGTTCCACACACGAAATTCTCTGTATCATCGCAGTTGCAGTCGCCCGGTAGCGTGACATCTAAAATAAAGCGTAGAAATTGCGCTTATAGGGATATAGTTTGTGTTAGGGTTTGGAGGAAGATTAAGAATTTGGCTCCTTGTACCTGTTCTGATTCAGCTTTCTGTTTTGAATTATACATGTCTAGAGTCGAAATTGGGTTCGGGTTAAGTTAGATTTTCGCGTTAGTATTAAAGGTGTTAAGGTTATATATCAAGCGTTAGTGGTGTCAGTTGGCCTTAGAGTTATACCCCGTAAAACCACTTCTACCGCGGTTAATCCCTTCATTCGGCACCAACTATCAAACTACGACAGAATGGCGGCCGCGTCACGTGATCCGACCTTCGTGACTCACCGTCGCAGTGTCCTTCAAACTCCACTATAAGGTCGTCATCACCCTGCTCAATTCGGGCGCAGTTCAACATGCACTCGTTGGGATAGGTGCTCCCGTCCGAGCCGCACACGTAGGCGACCACGTCAGGGCAGTCGCAGACGAACTGGGTCGCTGCGCAGAATCACGAACTACTCACGAACGGGGGGCGGAAACGCCCCGCGCGGGAAAGGGGAAGGGCGCATAGACTATGGGGGCTGTTGTCAGTACGATGGTTAGTCGTACGATTAGTTCCAGCATTAATGTTTTGCCCTAAACCGTTGTTAGGAAAATCGCAAGGTTTAGCGTGATTAGTGTGGCAATACTATTTGTAAGATTTATCATGGTCATCATTTTTGTGCAAACTTTCTTATTGATCTCGCAATTATCTCTCCTCTCTCTCTCACGCGCGCACACGCACACATACACACACACACACACACACACACACACACACACACACAC